AAACCCCAAAAATTCCAAAAAACCCAGAAACGCCAGAAAATCAAAAAACAAACACACACACACACACACACACACACACACACACACACACACACACACACACACACACACACACACACACACACACACACACACACACACACGCACACAAAAAAAAAAAAGCCCAGAAACCCTAAACCCTAAACCCTAATGCCAGAGGCGCCTCTCGCCGAGCTTGGACTCGCATCCAGAACTCGTCGTCCTCGGCCTGTGCTTTGGGTTTGGGGTTTAGGGGTTTAGGGGTTTGGGGGTTTAGGGTTTAGGGTTTAGGGTTTAGGGTTTAGGGTTTAGGGTGTAAGGTTTAGGGTTTAGGGTTTAGGGCTTGGGGCTTAGGGTTTAGGGTTTAGGGTTTAGGGCTTCGGGCCTGCCCAAACAAGGCACCTTTTGAGGAGTGTTTAGGAGGTGTTTAGGGGGTTTCAGGGATGGCGGACGACCCTTTCCCACATGCCGTTAAAGCACGGCCGGCCTTGCTCTACTACATGTCCCCCTACCATACACCAAAAACCCTCAACCCTAAACCCCAAACCCGGAATCCTAAACCCTAAACCCCAAACCCCAAACCCTAAACCCTCACACCACGAACCCCGGTGGCGGTGGCTCCTGAGACTCAACCCTAAACCCAAAATCATCCCGTATTTCATTTGGGGTTTTGGCGGGTTTATGGGGTTTAGGGAGTTTATGGGGTTTAGGGGGTGTAGAGGGTTTAGGGGGTGTAGGGAGATCGGGCAGGGTTTTTGTTGGGGGTTTAGGGGCGGATTAGGGGGGTGGGTTTGCGGTTCAGGGTTTGGGGTTGAGGGCTTCGGCATAGGTTTTGGGGTTTGCAGAGGGTGCTAGCCTTCCAAACCCTGCACCCGAAAACCCAGAACCCTAAGCCCTAAAGCCCTAAACCCCAAACCCTAAATCCTAAACTCTAAACCCTAAACCCGAAACCCCAAACCCCAAACCCCAAACCCCAAACCCTAAACCCTAAACCCTAAACCCTAAACCCTAACCCTAACCTTGGCAAGAACCTAAGTAGCCCCCTCCACAAACCCGGGCGTGCCTTGCTAGGATCCCTCCTTGAGCTTGTGAGCTTAGGGTCGAGGGCCTAGGGCAGTCTAAGGTTGAGGGTTTGGGGTTTAGGGTTTAGGGTTTAGGGTTTAGGGTTTAGGGTTTAGGGTTTAGGGTTTAGGGTTTAGGGTTTAGGGTTTAGGGTTTAGGGTTTAGGGCCCAAACTCCGGCGCACCTTGGCACTGGCGCTCTTCTGGCCCTCCTTCACCAGATTGACCTGAAAAATTTCAGGGTTTAGGGTTTGGGGCCTGAGGTTTAGGCTTTGGGGTTTGGGGTTTAGGGTCGTTCGGCCCATACCTGGCGGGGGGGTGCATCCTTCCTTCCTTCAAAGTTCAAAGTGCCCTGCGTAGATTGCGGGCGGGGGAGGAAGGGGCGGGGGCGGTCAGGCAGGATGGGATCTTGAAGTCTGGCATTGTCAAGCCCTGACGCACCCCTAAAGCACCAAACCCCAGCCCCGGAACCCCAGGGTCTAGGGTTCGGGGCATAGGGGGCATCGGGTTTAGGGCCGAGGGTTTGGGGCCCTAGGGTCTCTAGACCTTGTAGGGTTGAAGGTAAGGCTTTGGCCTTAGCTGGCCCAGCTATATACCCCAGAGCCATTATCCCCGAAGCCCCACACCTTGCGAGGCTCCCGAACCGTTAGCACCTTAAGCCCTGCAGAAGAGACCTAAAGACCCGTGGTAGGCTTTAGGGATTCGGGTTTAGGGGGTAGGGTTTAGGGATTGGGGTTTACTGGGGGTAGGGTCCTCACAACCCCCGAGATGTTAGGTGTGGCAGGTTTCGGGGTTGAGGCTAGCAGCGCTGAGAACTAAACCCCAAGCCCCTAAAGCATTTCCGCCCAAGGTGCTGGGCTTTTTGGGATTGCAGGGATTCGGTAAAAGCGCGAAGGCGGTTTAGGGTTTGGGGTTTGGGGTTTAGGGTTTAGGGTTTAGGGCTGAGGGTTGAGGATTCCTTTAAGGCCATGAGGGGTTTCAGGCTTTGGGCTTGGGGTTTCAGGGTTAAAGACTCGGCTGCTGACGCTAACGAAATTCGGAGGCACACAGGCTTAAGGATCTGTTTGTTGAGGGTTTAAGGGTCTAAGCCCTAAACCTAAACCCCAAACCCTAAACCCTAAACTCTAAACCCCAAACCCTAAACCCCAAACCCTAAACCCTTCCAGGATTTAAGCCCCCTGGCGTTGTAGAAGCCAGTCTTGCACATCACATACTCGAGGCTGCCGCCTCCGCTGTCTGGAAGCTGCGATGAGGGAGTTCGAGGGCTTGCGGTTGAGGGTTTAGGGTTGAGGGTTTAGGGCTTACGGTTTAGGGTTCGGGGTTTAGGGTTTAGGGTTTTGTAGCGTTTAGGGTTTAGGGTTGTTAGAGTTGAGGCTTGAGGGTTCAGGGGGCTTTGGTCGCTTTGTCGGTTTCTGTGGGTGGGTTGAGGGTTTAGTGCTTAAGGATTAGGGGTTTTCAGGGTTGTTGGGCTTCAGAGGAGAACTCTTTGAGGTTTTTGGGAGCACCCAGGAACCACTCCGACAACAGCCTACAGTATCGCAATCTCACCTGAAGTGATTTCACAGAATTCGAGTCCACCCTTTTGCAGCGGATGGGCCCCTTGGTCTCAACAGCACCCAACTTCCCTGTAAAGCCCCAAAAGCCTACACTGCAACACCCGCAAGACTACACTCTAAGCCCCAAAGCTGACCCTGCACAGCCTAAACTCACGGGCCAAACCCGGAACAGCCAGCGGAGGGCCCGCAGCAGTTGGGAGCTGGGTCTTTGTAATTTAAGATTTGGGCCTCCGGGCGTGGGGAACCTCTCAGCAACGCGTTGAAGGCTTGCCTCTAGGAGTTACGGTGTGTTCGCACCTTTCACCCCTTGTTTCAGCATGTAAAGGCCTCTGTCTTGCTCACCCACCGTCTATATACAGCTTAGAGATCAGGAAAAGTAACGGTTAACCGCTCCCTCCGCGACACACCTTGAGACCCTCTAAACGCCTGGCTGGATAACACTCGTCTCAATATTATGGCGGGCGTTTGTCTTCGTTCGCTTCATGAGTTTCATTCATACACGCACTAGAAGCTCGTAATAATTTTGGGGAAAACCTTAGCCCATTGCACAATGCTAAGCCCGACACCCTTAACCCTTTGTGTTTGTTTTTTTTTTTTTTTGGGGGGGGGGGGGGGGGCTGCTCTTTGTACAGGGGAGGGAATACCCCTCAACCTTTGAACCCTTCAACACGAACTCGCCGGCAGCGCCCAACAGGAATGATGCGCCACACAGCGCTGGGAGTCGTCGGTAGATCTGGGTTCGGGTTTAGAGCAGGGTTTCGGGCTTAGAGTTTGGGGCTGAGGCAGGGTTTCGGGCTTAGAGTTTGGGGCTTCACTGAGATGTACCCTGCCACCCACGCCTCCCAATTTTGCTCCAAGACCGAAATAAACCCCTTGAAACATGCCTAAACCCAATAAAGCTAAACCCAAAACCCGAAACCCAAAAATCCAAAACGCCTACCTAGTATCCCTAGACTCCAAGTGACGGGATTAAATACCCCTTTCCTAACCAAGGCCTTGATGATGCATCTGAAACCCAAGGCCTGAGACGGAACCCGTACGCCCCTAAAGGGTTCAGGGTTCAGGGCTTGCGGCTTAGGGTTTAGGGTTTAGGGTTTAGGGTTTAGGGTTTAGGACTTAGGTTTTAAGATTTAGGGTTTCGGGTTTAGGGTTTAGGGTTTAGAGGTCTAAGCCCCAAACCTTAAACCAGAATGCCCTGAGCCCGGCTCCACTTGCTGGCACGGATGGGTGCTGGGGGCCCACACGTTTGGCGACCGGAGCGACAGCGTTCCCTCCATCTCGACCCACGTGAGGATGCAGAGAGCTCGAAGAACCAATCCCCTAAACCCTAAACCCTAAACCCTAAACGCTAAACCCTAAACCCTGAACCCTGAACCCTGAACCCTGTTAGGTTAGGGCTTGGGGTCCAAGGGCTATTATTGCTGAGGGCTTGCAACACTGACACACAAGCTCACACACCCAACCAAACAACTCTACATCCTAAACCCTAGACCCTAAACCCTAAACCCTAAATCCTAAACCCTAAACCCTAAACCCTAAACCCTACACCCTAAACCCAGTCTGAAGCCGCTTTCGAAACAGAGGCCAGGGCCTCCGAGAGCCGGAGAAGCAACCGAAGCCGGCAGGTGCGCGGCCGCAGTGTAAGGTTTGGGGTTTAGGGTTTAGGGTTTAGGGTTTAGGGTTTAGGGTTTAGGGTTTAGGGTTTAGGGTTTAGGGTTTAGGGTTTAGGGTTTAGGGTTCCCAGAACGCGGCCTAAACCCACAACCCTCGACCCTCAAGCCCTAAACCCTAAACCCTAAACCCGACTGTACCCTAACCTTAAACCCCAGACCCCAATCCGTGAACCCCGAAGTGCACAGCACTGCGCTCAAAACCTCCTTGGAAGCCTTGAAGAGCCAGTTTTACCTGGTTAGGGGGCTTTAGGGGTTTCAGGGTTTTTGGGGGTAGAGGTCGATAGGGGCTTTGGGTTTAGGAGTTTAAGGGTTTAGGGTTTAGGGTTTAGGGTTTAGGGTTTAGGGTTAGGGTTTAGGGTTTAAGGTTTAGGGTTGAGGATTGCGGGTTTAGGGTCTCGGGTTTAGGGTTTAGGGCCACCTCGCTCCTTCCTTTTTGGCTCGCCGCAGGATGTTGGACCTGCTGCTGCCAAAGCGCCCACGCTGCCTGATCCGTTCTGCTCTAAGCCGAACAAAACTTTTTAGCAACCCGTGTTTGACCCTTACGGGGCCCTATGACCCCATTAAGCTCCAAAACCTTAGTGACCCTAAACCCTAAACCCGAAACCCTAAACCCTAAACCCTAAACCCTAAACCCTAAACCCGAAGCACCCACCCACGGCCCTAGCTGCCCCATCCTCCCCTCACAGAGGAGCTCACATGAATGGCCATGGCTTGCCAGTGGCCACGGCCTGACAGGAGGGCTGCTTGGGGTTCAGGGTTTAGGGTTTAGGGTTCAGGGTTCAGGGTTCAGGGTTCAGGGTTTAGGGTTTAGGGTTTAGGGTTTAAGGTTTAGGGTTTCGGGTTCAGCATTTAGGGTTTAGGGTTTCGGGTTTAGGGTTTAGGGTTTAGGGCATGGGGCTGCGGGCTTCAAAGTTTAGGGCTTCCGGGTTGAGGATATCAGGGCTTAAGGCTTCGGGACGTGCAACCTCGCCGAGCCACGCCATCCCTATATAAACCCTGAAGAACAAAAATCTCCCCAGGGTTTAGGGTTTAGGGTTTGGGGTTTAGGGTTTAGGGTTTGGGGTTTAGGGTTTAGGGTTGCATGTACCATCTTTCATTAGGGATCCAGGGAGCCGCTGCCTTTTCAACCTAACGAAGGTACGGAGTGCCGACAGCTCCTGAGCCCCTAAACCCTGAGTACCCTCGGCATTCCCAAAACCCGAAACCCGAAACCCTAAACTATAATCAAACCCTAAACCCCAAACCCTAAACGGGGCCAACAATAGACCCCCACATAGTAGGATAATAAGGACCCAAGAAGGTACCCCCTAATATCGTAATTTCAAACCCTAAACCCTGAACCCTAAACCCCAAACCCTCTAAACGCTAAACCCTAAACCCTAAACCCATCCACGGCCCATTCAAGCCGACCACACACGTCAGCCAGAGAGAGCCGCTGCCTGAGTGACGATGCCGCTGAAGGCAAACATGGCAAGGCGGCCATTCTCGAGCTCCTAAGCGGGGGCGTAGGGGGTGGGTTTTGGGCTCAGAGCTTAGGGCTTAGAACTCCCGAAACCCGAAACCCGAAACCCTAAACCCTAAACCCCAAACGAACATTAAGCCTTAATTTTTAAGTGGTGCTGGAACCCAGGTGTGAAACCCTAAGCCCTGCAACTTTAAGCTTGAACCCTCACGCCTGGAGCCCTAAGACCTGCAACCCCTAAGGCCCTTAAACCCTAAACCCTAAACCCTGGAACTTTAAGCTATGAACACCCGTAAACACCGTAAACCCCCTAAACCCCCTAAACCCCCTAAACCCCCTAAAACCCCTAAATCCCCCAAACTCCCTAAACCCCCTAAACCCCCTAAACCCCCTAAACCCCCTAAACCCCCTAAACCCCCTAAACCCCCTAAACCCCCTAAAGCCCCTAAAGCCCCTAAAGCCCCTAAAGCCCCTAAACCCCCTAAACCCCCTAAACCCCCTAAACCCCCTAAACCCCCTAAACCCCCTAAACCCCCTAAACCCCCTAAACACCCTAAACCCCCCCCCCCCCCCCCACCTTCAGGGGTCGCAGCTTGGTCTGACGATGCAGCGCGGGAAATGGCAAGGCTTAAGCAGAGACCCTGAAGGCATAAGCTCGCCTCTTTCTTAGGGCTCAGGGTTCAGGGTTTAGGGTTTAGGGTTGAAGGTTTAGGGTTTAGGGTTTAGGGTTTAGGGTTTAGGGTTTAGGGTTTAGGGTTTAGGGTTTTAGGTTTCGGGTTTAGGGTTTAGGGTGCAGGGTTTAGGGCGCTTGAGGCGTCTAGGGCGTTTAGGGTGTTTAGGGCCTTTCGGAATGAACCCTTTTGCATGACCCCTCCAAAAGACGAATCGCTTCTCCCAGGTCTTTCAGAAAGAAAGAAACCCGAAACCCTAAACCCTAGCCCTAAACCCTAGCCCTAAACCCTAAACCCCCAAACCCCAACCCCCTAAACTCAAACATCAGCGAGTCCTTGAGTCGCATGTCCTTCTCCTTCGCAGGGTCCTGCTTGGAGGTTACTTATAACCGAGGTTTAGGGTTTAGGGTTTAGGGTTTAGGGTTTAGGGTTTAGGGTTTAGGGTTTAGGGTTTAGGGTTTAGGGTTTAGGGTTCAGGGTTTAGGGTTTAGGGTTTAGGGTTTAGGGTTTAGGATAGTCCAGCGCTTATAGGCACCCATGACACCTTCCGAAATTGGCCCTGAACCCTCCACGTTCTAAGCCCCTACTGAAGCCCCAAACCCTAAACCCTTCACCCCTAAACCCCTAAACCCCAAACCCTAAACCCCAAAAACCCTAAACCCCAAACCCTGAACCCCCTAAACCCTAAACAGTAAGCCCTAAGGTTCAGGGTTTAGGGTTTAGGGTTTAGGGTTTAGGGTTTAGGGTTTAGGGTTTAGGGTTTAGGGTTTAGGGTTTAGGGTTTAGGGTTTACAGTTTAGGGTTTAGGGTTTAGGGTTTAGGGTTTAGGGGTTAGGGTTTAGGGTTTAGGGTTCAGCCCAAAAGCCTCCTGAACCAAAAGCCCGCTGCGGTCTTAGGGCATGTCAGTTCGGGCTTTTCAGTTTGGGCATGTGGTGGGCGTATAGGGCCTGTAGGGATTTCAGGGATTTTTGGTGCTTCAGGGAAAACCTGGACTCAATATAGGTTGTTTTCTTTGTTTTGTTGTTTTGTTCGGAGGGGGGAGAAGCGGCATCGGTCCTTGGGCAGGAACTGCTTGCCCAGCCAGTAGTCTCCTGCCTTCGCGAAGGGCTCTCACACCACCAACTTGCTTCCCCAGTCTCCGCGAGAACAAAAAAAAGAGGGCGGTTTAGGGTTTAGGCTTTTGGGTTTAGTTTTCGGGTTGCCTGTTTTTGTTACAGGGGCCCCATAAGGGAACCTAACCCTAAGGAAAAGGGGAGTAAGGGTACTGGATGCTACTTGTCCTTATGTTTAAAACTAATTGGAACATGTCCCAAAGTAGTCCAGTTGCAACAGCAGGAAGGTCTGGGCAAGTAGTAGGTTGAGGGTTGAGGCCTTAGGGGTGTAGGGCCTTGGGGGCCCTGTACTAACAGTCCTTAATAGGTGTTATAGTACCCCCCATTATAATCCCTATTAAGGACTGTTAGTATAATGGGAAACATCCCCACCTTCAAGCCTAATCCCTCAACCCTAAACCCTAAACCCTCAACCCTAAACCCTGAAACCCTGAAACCCTGAACTACCCCCTTAATGAAGGCAACAGAGGGCTCGTGGAACGACCAGCTTGATGGATGCTCTTGGGTTTCGGGCTCTTGCCCTATGGACTTCGGAAGCTTGGGCTCTGCGGCAGAATTCCCCAGCTTTAGGGTTTAGGGTTTGGGGTTTGGGGTTTAGGGTTTAGGGTTTAGGGTTTAGTGTTTAGGGGTTAGGGGTTAGGGTTGCAATTTCGCCTCGCGGTTGATGCCCTCACCAAGGGGCCAGGACTGGAAGAAGAGCCACCTCGGTTAAGGGGGTTTAGGGCGTAGGGTTTAGGGCTTAGGGCGCAGGGCGTTTCGGGCTTAGGGCGTTGGTGGAAAGCACAAAGGGCCGCTCTAAGGGGCCTCTTGAGAGCACTGCTACGGTTGAGGGCTTTGGGGGCCCTAATAAAAAACATATACTCGTATAAGGATGAGATAGGCATTAAGGCTAAAGGTAACAGAATAAAAACTTTAGTTCCCTCTGCAATTGGGATAAGGGCTTCGGGTTTTTGAATCTGGGCTTCGGGTTCCGGGCTCAGGACGCCCCAGGGCCCCTCCGGCGCCGAACCGCATCCTTGAGCCTGAACCCTAAACCCGAAACCCCCTACGCCCCTTTCAGCACCCTAAACACCCTGGACCCCATCCTAAAAACCCAAAACCTCCTAGACCCACCCAGAACTAAGCCCTAGACCCTGAAGCCCCTTCAGGGGACCCTGAAGCTGCCCCCAAGACAAGTGGAGAAGGTTGAGGGTTTCGGGTTTCGGGTTGAGGGTTTAGGGTTTAGGGTGTAGGGTTTAGGGTTTAGGGTTTAGGGTTTAGGGTTTAGGGTTTAGGGTTTAGGCACCCCTCAAAGACTCCTGGAGCCCAAGGCACAGCGCGAAGAGCTCGAAGACCCCGATGGCCCCGAAGAAGGGGAGCATGTACCCGGCCTCCACCATCCTCAGGGTTTAGGTTTAGGGTTTTAGGGTTTTAGGGTTTTAGGGTTTTTGGGTTTTAGGGTTTTAGGGTTTTAGGGTTTTTGGGTTTTAGGGTTTCCCGGTTCTCAAGATCTGTTCGGGGCAGGGTGTGTGAAATTTGCATTAGGGGTTTAGGGAGTTAGGGTTTTAGGGTCTTAGGGTTTAGGGTTTTGGCCTCCACCGTCCTCCAGTTCTTTTCAGGGTGTGCGAAACTTGCATTAGGGTTTTATGGTTTTAGGATGTTTCAGGGTTCAGGGCTGCAGGGTTTTAGGGTCTTAGGCTCATCCTCAAGATCTGTTCGGGGCAGGGTGTGTGAAACTTGCATTAGGGTGTTAGGTTGGGGTATGTTCCCTCTTATACCAACAGTCCTTAAGAGGGAATATAGTACCCCTACTCTATTCCCTATTACGGACTCTTAGTATGAGGGAGAACATCCCAAGTTTTAGGGTTTTAGGGTTTTGGGATTCTAGGGTGTCAGGGATTTAGGGTCTGTGGGATTTGGGGGTTTCAGGATTAGAGATACGACCTAGGGTTTGGGTCCGGAGTTGTGGCGGGTTTGGCAGGCTTGCGGAGAGTTAACGATGTACGAAGAATGTGGTTGTTCAAAGCTCTCTGTATGTATGTATGTATGTAGGTAGGTATGTAGGTATGTATGTATGTATGTACGTGTATGTATATATATATATACATTCATACATGCATATCTAACAGATAGACATACCGATTTAAACCTCAGATCATATACTTCAAACAACCATCTGTGTAAACTCTATATGTGTGGATCTATATCTATATACCCGTTATGAATCATATGTGCACACACACACAGATATGTATGCATATATATATATACCACACATGTACACATCGATATTGCGATTCGGAAACCCTAAAGCATACACACGTAAACCGAATCGAGATATATGGGGGTTTCCGAGAATGGGGGTACCCTATCACCCCCACACCCCCACAAACACCCCCGCACCCCCACAAACACCCCCACACCCCCACAAACACCCCCACACCCCCACAAACATCCCCACACCCCCACAAACACCCCTGCACCCCCAGCGATAGCTGGCCCCCATATATCTTCAGGTAAGTTGCCTGCCAACCCCTTTACCCCCTCCTATATCACCCCCACACCCCCACAAACACCCCCGCACCCCCACAAACACCCCCACACCCCCACAAACACCCCCACACCCCCCACAATCTTGGGGGGGTTCCAATCCTAAGGAGTATTAGAATTTTGGTATATTAGGGGTGCCCCGATTCTTGTAACCCGAAACCCGAAACCCCAAACCCTAAACCCCAAACCCTAAGCTTCAAACCCTAAACCCCAAACCCCAAACCCTAAACCCTAAACCCCAAACCCTAAACCCCAAACCCTAAACCCTGAACCCATCTAGGCAAACTACAGCAACAGGCTTGCCACCGAGCAGCTTGTCGTGCGCCTCTACCGAGTTGGCCACAGCCTGGTAGGGGAAGAGTAGGGGTTTCGGGTTTAGGGTTTGGTGCGGGGGAGGGGATTTAGGATTTGGGGTTTGGGGTTTAGGGTTTAGGGTTTGGGGTTTGGGGTTTAGGGTTTAGGGTTTAGGGTTTAGGTTTGGGGTTTGGGGTTCAGGGTGTTTAAGGCTTCAGGATTCTCTCCTCTCTTATCTCTGCTAAAGCCCCTCGCGCCGGCCTGGAACTTCTCGCCCGGGAAGCGGAACCCGAGGTCCGTGGCGATCCAGCCCACAGTGGCCAGCCTGATCATCCCCTCTCCCCCCCCCCACTTAGGGTTTAGGGTTTAGGGTTTAGGGTTTAGGGTTGAGGGTTTAGGGTTGAGGGTTTAGGGTTTAGGGTTTCCTGCCTACCCATAGGGTTTAGGGTTTAGGGTTCAGGGTTTATATGGAGTTTAGGGTTTAGGGTATAGGGTTTAGGGGGCTTAGGGTTTAGGGGGTTTAGGGTTTGGGGGGTTCAGGGCTTCGAAGGGTTTAGGATTTTGGGGCTTTTGCAGCTTTAGGGGCTTTGGGGCATTTCGGGTTTTCAAGTTTTTGGGGTTTAGGGTTTGGGGGTTGAGTGCTCAGGGTTTGTTTGGCGTGCCTCAACCCCAGCACCTGGAAATCACAGAATCCCCACACAGGCGAGAGCCCGCTACCCCATGTGAGATGCGGCCGAAGAGCATGGCAATGCGTCCGTGCTTGAGCTCCGCCTCAGGTGACGGGGGAAGGTTTGGGCACAAGAAGCGTAAAGCCCTAAACCCTAAACCCCAGTTTTGGGGGCCCACCAGCCCTGAGACCCAAACCCTGAACCCACCTGGCGGAAATCTTCCAAGAAGTTGAACTCGACCCCAGATTGGCGCCAGCTCAGGGCCCAAACCCGAAAGCCCAAAACTGTGGCTTTTGTCATGCTCGGGCTCAACTTTCCCCTGTGAATCTGATGTGTTCCTTCGAAGGTGCGACACCATCTCCAAACTCGAGAGATGATTCAACTCATGTGGGTGCATTTCCCAAACTGGGGGATACCCCCTTGTGTAGCCCCAAAATAAAATAGAATCCCCTTAAAGGGACCCCCAAGAAGAGATACTCCTATTTTCGGAAACCCCAGATGTGAAAATTAGAAACATCAGCTGCTCCACTTCCACGGAACAAATCGGCTCCAGCCCGTGCCAACCCTAAACCCCCAAATCCCAAACCCTGAACCCTGAATCCTAAGCTCTAAACCAGGCCCCGAATCAACCTTGCGAGATAGAAAGGGCTTTGAGGGTTAAAGGGCCTGAAGGGCTTGAAGGGCCTGAAGGGCTTGAAGGGCCTGAAGGGTTTGAAGGGCTTGAAGGGCTTGAAGGGTTTGAAGGGTTTGAGGGGGTTTTAAGCGTTTAAAGGTGAGGGCTTTGGGCTCCCAAGCATTTTTCCGGGTTCGGTTTGAGGTTTATGTATGGCTCGAAAGTCAAATCCCCAGACCCTGCTCTTCTTCCAATTCTACCCCGAAACCCTTATGGTTCATGGTTTACGGTTTAGGGCTTAGGGTTGCGGGTTCAGGGTTTAGGGTTTAGGGTTGCGGGGGGCTTGAAGCTGCGCTCGAAGATTGGAATAAGGATGGCGAACTCGGGAATGAGGTCCTTTACCTCCACCCTAAGCCCTCCTCCACCCACATCCTAAGCCCCAAACCTTAAGCCCTGACTAAGCCTTAAGCCCTAAGCCCTAAACCCTAAACCCCAAACCCTAAACCCTAAACCCTAAACCCTGACCCGCGCACCTCGCGGACCCAGTAGACCGGCAGGGCATCAGTCACGCCCAGTGGGTCGAAGCCCTTCTCTTCACCGACCCAGCCCTTCCTTGGATTTCCAGGGTTCGTGGGGTCTAGGGTCTAGGGTTTAGGGTTTAAGGTTTAGGGTTTAGGGCTTGGGGCTTAGGGCTTAGGGTTTAGGGTTTAGGGACCGTAAAGGCCGTGATACCCTCATACCCTCCCTAACGGCCCCGAACCTTGACACCCTAATACCCAAACACCCTAAATGCCTGAAACCCTAAAGGCCCTAAGCCTCAATTCCCCAAATGCCCTAAAGGCCCCAAACCTTAATACCGTAAACCCTAAGCTCTTCTGTGAAAGAAGGCATGGTCTCTAGTCTCAGAGGTGCCCTCTTGGGTTCGCCAGCCCGGTGGGTGCCCTACGCAGGGGGCTCATGTGGGAGCCGATGAAACTTTGGGTTTAGGGTTTAGGGTTGAGGGTTTCGGGTTTAGGGTTTCGGGCTTAGGGTTCAGGGTTTAAGGTTTAGGGGTTTAGGTTTTTACTTCCCTGAGAACCACCCACAACGCAGTTCAGGCAGGCTGCAGCACCTGAGGGTAGCGGAGGAATGGCACGGATGGAGACATCTCCATCCTTGGCTCACGGGAAAGGAGGGGGAAGCCCTAAACCCTAACGCCTAAACGTGGAGGATGAAAAACAAAACTCACCCCGACAACCCCCGAGCACACGCCGGATGGGGTGGGAGGAGGCTTTACGTAGTGTGCTCTTCCGAAACGAACGAACCATATATGATTCACGATAAACCCTAAACCCAAAATCCTCAACCCTAACCCCTCAAGCCCCCCAGATTCCTGAAAATAGAACACATCACCTTGCTAACACGTGGACGGGGTCGGGGAGGGCAGATACCCCTGACGGTACATCCCTGTGAACCCTAAACACGAACTCCCCCACAAACAACCCTAAACCCTAAACCCTAAACCCTTAACCCTAAACCCTAAACCCCTAAACCCTAAACCCTAAACCCTAAACCCTGAACCCTAGCTCCTCGCCGCTTCCGGGCCACTCCTTGGGGTAGGTCTCCAGCTCAACGTAGTCACCCTCGGCCTGGAGAAGGGAGGCCAAACGCCTAGAACATTCTGAGTCCAAGGTTGGAACCATGGGCCCTTAGTAAAGTCCCTTACCCGGGCTCCGAAGTATGGGCCCTTCTCATGCAGAGTGCATATAAGGGTTATAGAACGGGACCCAAATTAAGAGCCCATACTTCGGATCCCCAACCGAGGGCTGGGGCTTAGGGCTTTAGGGTTGAGGGCTTAGGGCTTCAGTGAGGGTCGGGTTTAGGGCCAGGGCCTGTTCTGCAGATTCGCGACAAGCAGCCCAACTGTTCAAGGGTTGTGGGTGTTGGGAGGGGCTGCGCGCGCTACAATTCTCGGGTTTCAAGAGGTTTTGGGCCGAGCTGAACGTGCCACTTCTTGGATTGCATTGGAGGCCACAAAACCTTGACAGCCAGCATCTCAGGTTCCCGTTTGGGTCGCTTTGTCATATAACCCTCACATACACGATACACACTATACATAATAAGAGCCCATACCCTTATAGATTCTCACACATACTTCGGATCCCTAGAAACACGGGTAAGGGACCATACTCAGGGCCCATGGTTAAAACCTTAGACCACAAGGATATGCAAGGTCAAGGTGCTCTCTTGGAGAAAATCACCACCATCAGCAAGAAAAAGTGAAGAGATGAAGTCTGAAGAGAACAGCAGGAACAACGAAGCTACATGCCGAAGCTCCCAACCCCACGCGCTAGGCCTCAACGCCCAATCCTAAACCCTAAACCTTAAACCCTACAACCCAAAATCCAGAACCCTAAACCCTAAACCCTAAACCCTAAACCCTAAACCCTAAACCCTAAACCCTAAACCCTAAACCCTAAACCCTAAACCCTAAACCCTAAACTCCATCTTCCTTGCAACCAGCTGCGAGCTTCTGCACCGCGCGCATGGCGGTGCGGCCCTCGTGGCGCTTGGGGACGGCGCAGACGCCGGCGTTGTCGATGCCACCTGCAGCTTTGGGGCTTCGGGGGGTTGGGGGGGGTTTGAGGTTTAGGGTTTAGGGTTTAGGGTTTAGGGTTTAGGGTTTAGGGTTTAGGGTTTAGGGTTTAGGGTTTAGGGTTTAGGGTTTAGGGTTTAGGGAAATTAGGGCTTAGGGGTTTCTTGAGGAGAATGCCTGGAAGTAGGGTTCGGGGATGGATGCTGGTTTACAGGATGCCTGAGGGTTCATGAGTACCCTAAACCCTAACCCTAAACCCTAAACCGTAAATCCTAAACCGTAAACCCTAAACCCTAAACCCTAAACCGATAAGCTGGAAGATATGCAGGGCAACTGAACTTCGAACCCTAGCTGAAGCGAGCTCAGCCCTGATTACCTTCAAGGCAGGGTTGGCTATTGTGTGAGGCCCCGCGACCCTAAATCCCAAACCCTCAACCCTAAACCCCAGTCCCACCCAACCCTCCTTCCTGCCCTTCCGGCCCTTGCATCTCAGCTTGAACCGGAATCTCCTGATAAACGTCAACCCCCACAACCCTACTAGCCCCGGATTTCTTGGGCTTCTGTTTCGGGTTCGGGCAGCTCCTTGCCGCATGGCTCCTTTTCGGGTTTAGGGTTTAGGGTTTAGGGTTTAGGGTTTAGGGTTTAGGGTTTAGGGTTTAGGGTTTAGGGTTTAGGGTTTAGGGTTTGGGGTTCCGGTACCCCGTACTCAATTCCGAACCCCACGAAGAAGTCAATAATCTGGAGACCCCCCCCCGAATTCGGCTCTTAAGGACACACACTGCAATCACAAGCCATCCAGAGGCGCGACCTAAGTCGCCTGTCCAAAAAACAGCCCCGAAAGGGAACCTACGAACCCTGAACCCAACACCTGCAAACCCTAAAGCCCTAAAACCCTAAACCCTAGGCCCTAAACAAACCTAATTGGGGCTCAAGGCAATTTCACGCCTGGGAGCCTTTCGGGTTTAGGGGATTAGGGGTTTAGGGTTTAGGGTTCAGGGTTTAATGGTTTCGAGTTTAGGGTTTAGGGTTCAACCTTGCAAAGGTCGGGTACAATGAGGGTGTTGGGAAGGGAGGGAGCGCAAGAAACCCCTGGAAAACCCGGGGTGTTTTGGGTCGAGCGGCTGCCGCTGAAGGACTGGCAGTTGTTAATGTGCTGCACAATAAACTGCACAGGCTCGCCCCAGAAACCTTCAGAGGCGATCTCGGGTCGAGGGTTGAGGGGTTCAGGGTCAGGATTTGGGTCCAGAGACAATATAAACCTCTGCAACCCCCCCTAGACCCTAAACCCTCAACCCTAATGCCCTAGACCGAAAACCCTAAACCCTGTTTGCCCTAAACCTTAAGCCCAAAAAAAATTGGAAAATCGGGTTGGATTTGGGCATTGCAGCGGAAGATTCTGCCACTAAACCCTACACCCAAAAATTTCGAAACCATAAGCGCCTAAACTCCGAACTCCAAAACCCGAAACATCCAAGGCTTTTGGGATTGCGCTGGAGTTGCTGATGCGCGGTGCTCCATGGCTCTGAAGGCGCGAATCCTCAAGAAATCCGACGAACCCGAAGATCATGAAGAACCCTTGTAGGGTTTGGGGTTTAGATTTTTCTGGCTGCAGCCCCAATGGCCGTTCTTGTTCATGTAGCTGAGAGGAGCCTCCCCGAAGGTTCCATCCTCAAGCACTTAAGACATCGTAGGGTGCAGGGTTTAGGGTTTAGGGTTTAGGGTTTAGGGTTTAGGGTTTAGGGTTTAGGGTTTAGGGTTTAGGGTTTAGGGTTTAGGGTTTAGGGTTTAGGGTTTAGGGTTTGGGTTTGAGGGTTTAGGGTTTCGGGTGCATCGAGAATAACATGGTTATGGAAGCAAATCATACGAGTTGCCAATCACAAAGATGGGGCGCATCTCCAGTAGCTGACTTGGCAACCCAAAAGCCCTTTCGAAGCTTTAGGGATCAGGGTTCAGGGTTCAGCGTTTAAGCTTAGGGTTTCAGGGTGTAGGGTCCACGCCCTCCCCCCACCACCCCAACCTACTTTCACTTTAGGTTGCGAGGGGAGCTCTCAACCTCCTCGTGCTGGAGTTCAGGACCCTCAACCCTGAGCCCCAAGCCCCGAACCCTCAGTCCTCAACCCATGCTGTAGGGAAACCGACAGGAAAGATTCGGGTTCCCCACCCCTCCCTTTGAGGAGCCTACAAACCCCAAGCCCCCGATCCTAAACCCCAAACCCTACACCCTAACCCCCTGGTTGACCCGTAAAGAATGTTCGGGAACATTGACCCACATACCCTGGTTGCAAACCCTCATCCCCTCATCCCCTCATCATCCCCTCATAATCCCCTCATCCCCTCATGAACCCCAACCGCCTAACTCCTACGGAAGGGTTCCGGCAAAACCCCAAAACCCGAAAAACCTAAACCCTGAACCCTCAACCCTAGACCCTAAACCCTAAACCCCAAAACCGTAAACCCTAAACCCTAAACCCTGAACCCTAAACCCTAAACCCTCAACCCTCTCCTGCCACATGAGGCCCATGATGGCCACCATCGCCAGGCGGCCGTTGTTACGCTCAGAGGTCTGCCTTCGCTCGAGCTCCTCCTGGAACAGAGAAGGGTTTAGGGTTTAGGGTTTAGGGTTTAGGGCTTAGGGCTTAGGGTTTAGGGCTTAGGGCTTAGGGTTTAGGGTTTAGGTTTTAGGGAAGGGTTTAGGGTTGATGTGGCTCTGGGCTTAAGGAGCTCAGAAGACCCTAACGCCTGAAGACCCTGAGTGATGGGTTCCCTTCTTGGGGCTTCCCACTGCAACTCACACGCGGCCATATACTTCGGGCACCCCAAAGCTTTAGGCGCATGGAAAACACACCCTAAACCCAAACCCTAAACCTTAAACCGTAACCCTACACCCAAAACCCTAAACCCTAAACCCTACACCGTAAACCCTACACCCTAAACCCTAAACCCTAGACCCTAAACCCCAAACCCCAAACCCCAAAACCCCAAGAAGCGTGGCGGGGCCGCATCGTCGATGCCATCCAGGAGCTCAATGCCCTGGCCGAAGTCGTAGAGGCCCATGCCTCCCGCCCGGGGCTTCACCAGCACCTGGCAAGGGGTTGAGGGCTTTAGGGCTTAGGGTTTAGGGTTTAGGGTTTTAGGGTTTTTAGGGTTTAAGGTTTAGGGTTTAGGGAACCTGCTAGAGTTTGGGGTTTGGGGCTTGGGGTTTGTTAGTGTTCGCAGCGGCCTAGGCCCCGGTCAACTCACCGGCATGGCACCCCCAAAACCCCATTTGAAACTCGCATCCACCCTCCCAAATTTCCCAAACTCGATTTGAATCCAACCCCCCCTCTCCTGCCAAAACAGCAAGGCTCAGGCCCAACAACTAAGCGTAAGAGCTCCATGCGGAACAGGTTGATTCCCGGACAAACACTCTTGTCTGCAACCTCCCTGGGCAGCCTGTTGGGAGCCCCTTGGGCCTCTTTGTAAGCCGTTTGAATCCGAGTCTCCAAAGAATGCTAAACCTTGGGATGGGGACTATAGTACCCCCCTTCTGGGTGAAGGCACGCATAACTCGGACAGCGATAAGCAGGCGAACGATTTTATGGTGTAGGGCTTAGTGAAGTTTAGCGTTTCTGTCGTGCCATCAGCCCGACACGCGGGAGGCCTGAACCTAGGCAAGCCCCGGAAATCCGATTTAAACAGACCAAGAAAAGACTATCGAAATATTAGATATCCGACTGAAAAGATCCCCCAAACAATGCATGAAAGCAAAACAAAACCCCAAGAAAGAGTTAAAAAGGACAAAAACGCCCGCACAAAGACCGAGATCTAAACCCTTAACCCCCTAAACCCCCTCAACCACCTAAACCCCCTAAAACCCCTAAACCCCCTAAACAGCCCCTAAACGCCCCCTAAACCCTAAACCCTAAACCCTAAACCCTAACCCTAAACCCCTGAGATGGTTTCGGGCCATAAGCCTCGTGGGCCCCGATCAAGGCAAAGAGCTGCACCCAGCCCTCGGGATATCTTGGGGGGGCTAGGGTTTAGGGTTTAGGGTTTAGGGTTTGGGGTTTAGGGTTTAGGGTTTAGGGTTTAGGGTTTAGGGTTTAGGGTTTAGGGTTTAGGGTTTAGGGTTTAGGGTTTAGGGTTGAATCTGGCTATCTTGGCGCTTTGATGGGCTGTTGGAGGGGTACCGAGGGTGTTGGGTTTAGGGTTTAGGAGTTGAGGGTTTAAGGTTCTAGGAGTTGAGGGTTTAGGGTTTAGGGGTAATTTCAGGGTTTGTCAGGTGTTCAGGGCTTTGAGAGTGTTTGTTCAAAGGTTGTTGTTGGTGGGTCGCTTAGGGTTGTGTGACGGGTTGTTGGGGTTCCTTGCGGTTCCTTTAGGTTTGGGGCTTTGAAGGTTTAAGGTTTAGGTTTTAGGGTTAACCTAAACCCTACACCCTAACCCCTAAACCCTAAACCCTACACCCGAACTAAACCCCAAACCCTCAACATACATGTTTCGACCCGGTGCAACAGCTCAAGCTTCCTCTGAGGCACTTTGATGACTTTAGAGGGTTTAGGGCCAAAACCCTAAACCCCAAACCCTAAACCCTAAACCCTCTCTTACCATATACATATGTAAACCTTTGTTGAATTTCAGTTTTGGCCGTTTATTTTCAGCTTCTGGCCGCTCTATTCTCAGTTTGGCCGCTTTGTTTTCAGATTTTGGCAGCTTGATTTTCAGTTTTTAGCCGCTTTATTTTCAGACATTTGGCCGTTTTTTGCTTTCTCAATGTTATGGGATTCTCGCCGTCTTTGCGTTCTCAATGTGATGGGAGTCTCTGGGTGGGTGGGTGTTATTATATCAGAGCCGTAAATAAACTTGAACCCTAAACCCCAAACCCTAAACCCTAAACCCTAGACCCTAGACCCTAGACCCTAGACCCTAACCCTAAACCCTGAAAACCCTCACAGCCCCCCGTGCCTCGACGGGGATGCTCTCCAAGGCGCCCAGGCCGTGCTTGAAGTCCTGCTTTCGGCATGTCAGGGTTTGGGGTTTGTAAGGTGTATGATTTGGGGTTTAGGGTTTAGGGTCCAGGGTTCAGCATCTCAAGTCCAAGCATTCACTAGTCAAGCACCTTGTCAAGCGTTGGAAAAAACCCCACCCACCCAAGAAACCCATAACATTGAGAAAATATAAAGTTCACTCAATACTTTCCCGGTGGGCTTAAAGCTCAAAGTCCAGTTGGCCCAAAACCCGAAATCTAAGGCCCACAATAGACCCCTAAACCCTATGCCCCAAATCCTAGGGCCTTAACCCCTCGAACCTATGGTTTAGGAGCTTCAAAAGGGGTTCCCAGGAATAAACCCTAAGCCCCAAACCCTACAGCCCTAAACCCTATGCCCCAAACCCTAAGAGCCGTTTAGGACCCTCCCCGGGTGGAAAAAAACCATTTGCCGACGAAGGGGGTCAGGGTTTAGGGCCCCCCCCGGGTGGGAAAAAACCATTGCCGACGAAGGGGGTCAGGGTTTAGGGCCCCCCCCGGGTGGAAAAAAACCATTTGCCGACGAAGGGGGTCAGGGTTTAGGGCCGCCCCCGGGTGGAAAAAAACCATTTGCCGACGAAGGGGGTCAGGGTTTAGGGCCCCCCCCGGGTGGAAAAAAACCATTTGCCGACGAAGGGGGTCAGGGTTTAGGGCGTGGAAAAAACCATTTGCCGACGAAGGGGGTCAGGGTTTAGGGCCCCCCCCGGGTGGAAAAAAACCATTTGCCGACGAAGGGGGTCAGGGTTTAGGGGGCTCCCGGGTGGAAAAAAACCATTTGCCGACGAAGGGGGTCAGGGTTTAGGGTCCCCCCGGGTGAAAAAAAACCATTTGCCGACGAAGGGGGTCAGGGTTTAGGGCCCCCTCGCGGGTGAAAAAAAACCATTTGCCGACGAAGGGGGTCAGGGTTTAGGACCCCCCCGGGTGGAAAAAAACCATTTGCCGACGAAGGGGGTCAGGGTTTAGGGCCTCCCCGGGTGGAAAAAAGCCATTTGCCGACGAAGGGGGTCAGGGTTTAGGGCCCCCCCCGGGTGGAAAAAAACCATTTGCCGACGAAGGGGGTCAGGGTTTAGGGCCCCCCCCGGGTGGAAAAAAAACATTTGCCGACGAAGGGGGTCAGGGTTTAGGACCCCCCCGGGTGGAAAAAAACCATTTGCCGACGAAGGGGGTCAGGGTTTAGGGCCCCCCCCGGGTGGAAAAAAACCATTTGCCGACGAAGGGGGTCAGGGTTAGGGCCCCCCCCCGGGTGGAAAAAAACCATTTGCCGACGAAGGTCATTAGGGTTTAAATATACATAGCAAGAGAGGGTTTAGGGTTTAGGGTTTAGGTTTTGGGGTTTGGGGTTTAGGGTTTAGGGTTTAGGGTTTATTGCCCCGAAAATAAAGGGGGTTCTTGTTGTCGTCCCGTTTGGGTACCCATTATAAGGCGGCACCCTTCAAAAAGGGATCCCAAAAAGGGACCCTAATTGAGAAAACCACCCATTTGCCAGCCAATCAAAGGGGGCAAAGGGCCCCCAGGGGGTAGCAGAAGCCTCGACAGGCCTTGCCTTTCAGAAGTTCCTCTTGAGTAATGTCCAGGAAACCCCAACCCTAACCCGAAAACCCGAAACCCTAAACCCTAAACAAACCCTAAACCGTAAACCCGAAACCCTGGCAAAATTACGGGACACGAGGAAAAAACTCCCCAAACCCTAAACCTAAATCTTAAACCATCAACCCTAAACCCTAAACCCCGTTGGCAGTCAAGGGGTAGCTAAAAAACAAACACGAATGACATCAAGTGGTGGGGGGGGCTTACGTAATGAAAAGAGCTGCTGGGTAAACAGCGTCGCTTCACAGAGTTGTACGGGTGGAGTTTGCTTTTAGGGCCCGAAACCTTAACATCCTAATCCCGAACATCCTGCAAGCCTCCACTTCAGCCTCAAACCCTACACCCTAAACCCTAAACCCTAAACCCCAAACCCCAAACCTTAAGGCCCTAATCCCCAAAAACATTCCGGCTTTTGGCACCTCGCAGCCCGGGAAGCGGAAAATCTCGGGCATGATGTAACCAACCTCCCAGGGCGTTTGGAGCGCCCCTCTGGGGGCTCAGGGCTTATTGCTTCGGATCTGTGACCCTGAACCCTGAACCCCTAAACCCTAAAACCTAAGCCCTCAACCCTAAACCCTAAACCCTACCCTAAGCCCTGGGCTGTAGGACTTCAGGGCAGGAGGGAGGTTCAGGGGCTTTTGGGGTTTTTGGGGCTTTGGCCCAGATTCTTTCGCAGGTGTCCTTTCTGATGGTAACTTAAGTTAGGTTCCTCAACAGCCATCTTAAGGTTGTAACCCTACACCCTAAACCCTAAGCCCTAAACCCTAAACCCTAAACCCTAAGCCCTAAACCCTAAACCCTAAGCCCTAAACCCTAAGCCCTAAACCCCCTTAGAAGCCAAGGAGGGCTCGGAGAGAGAGGCTGCTAGCGCTTCGGGGTTCTTCGGGGTTTAGGGTTTCGGGTTTCGGGTTTAGGGTTTTGGGCTTAGGGTTTAGGGTTTAGGGGTTTGGGGTTTAGGGTGTAGGATTTAGGGTTGAGGGTTGAGGGCTTGGAGTTTAGGGTTTAGGGTTTGGAAGAATTTGTCAGGTCTAGGGGTGCGCGCACGCTTGAGAGAGCTTTTTGGGGTGTCCCAAGAGCCCCCCTCTCCCTGACCCGTGCACCGTGGCGATCATGGCCACCCGTCCGTGCTTAATCTCGACGGCGGTGTAGCGGTCCATCTTGGCATCCGTGCTGCCCAGGTTCCTTGACTGGCTCTTAGTCGGGAATGAGGGAATGAGGTACCTATATACTCCCGCCCCTTATTCCCTCATTCCCTAGGAAGAATTAAGTTCAGGCTGTAAGGGGTCGGAGTTTCGGGCTCCATCCGTTCTGACAGCACAGACAACTCCCAGCGCTCACAACCCTAAACCCGAAGCCCTCAAGACTTTGAAGCATTCAGACAGGCTCTTGCACCCTGAAGCGCCAATGATTCTCCCTGGTTCTTAGTAGGGAATGAAGGAGTGAAGGCCCTACATATACCCTTTAAGGGAGTATATAGGATGTATATAGGTACCTGAGTCCTTCATTCCCTACCAAGAACCAGCCCGAAGGAGACCAAGAGGCAGAGGGTCGAACTTGTCCGTGAGGGGCATGCACACACCCACCACTTGCCGAGCTGTGGGGGCTCTGCCTCAAAAGCACCAAACCCTCAACTCTAAACCCTAAACCTAGAACCTCAACCCTAAACCCTAAACCCCTAAGCCTAAGACCCTGAACCCTAAACCCCTAACACCCTGCACCCTACACCCGTATCAGGGGTCGCAATCCAGTCAACGCGTGCAACGTGCCGAGTGCCGCCCTTCCGAGCCCTCAGCAGAATCCGCTAAGTCAAAAGGGTTTACAGGGTTGGGTTTGAGGACTCTAGGATCTTAAGGAGCTATGCGAGGGCCGAGCGCCCCTGCAACCCTAAAACCCTTAAACCCACGCTGCGGCCCTCGGCCTCCAAAAGCGATTAAAATTGGGGTTTAGGGTTTAGGGTTTAGGGTTTAGGGTTTAGGGTTTAGGGTTTAGGGCTTAGGGCTTAGCAGGACCCTTCCTACAAACCCCCCGGAA